TAACTGGTGTAGTCACGCATTTCAAATCTCTCAGGTTGGTAACTATGCTATGGTCGTACGACCGTTGCACAACGAATCCAGCACAGTTCCCTGTGCGCGATAGACGCACAGGGATGCAACGTCGACTGCTGATTGTCGGTAGGAGTCTGAATGGATCGTCATTAAAACGATCTGTTGCGCGTGCATTGTCGTGTTGCGTTCTTCATAGAATTGCGTCAGCTGATGACCGTCGTGCGCAGTGAGTGCCCTGCTTAACAAATTAAGTCTGGTTCTCACGAGAGTTCTAGTATCCGGATCGGGAGTTAACCGTTAGCACCTGCGTGAGAACGCCCGATCGGTTAGCGCTAACCGTTAGCGGTATCCGGCTACGCTAAAGGTTAGCAAGCGCTATCGGTTAGCAAGCTGAGGCGTTTCTATCATCAACCAATCACACGTACGCGTTTACAATTTCCAGTTTCTTATTGGCCAGTGATTCGATTATCATATTGTTGGTATCCAGATCGGGATTTTCTCGCATGGACGCACGGCAGCTAACGGTTAGCAGAATCCGGATTTTGCTAACCGTTAGCTGCCGTGTGAGGACATAGACTTAATGTTATTATATTTAACATATTGCAACAGCCATTTAGGAAATATATCAACATATATATATTTTAAGACCATCAGAATAATATCGCAGCGACTGCATCATTGTAGCTTACCTGAGCAAGTGGTCTGAATTTTTTCTTGTGGACTTCCCGGTCCGGGTGTATTAACACCTTCAACAGATCGCGAAAGTATACTGTAATATGTTACAGTTTCATGAAGTTTCAATCCAGTAATTTTGATGACGTCAGGTGTGTTTGAATTAATTGACGTGAATTGGCTGCTACCTTCTTTCTTGTACCAAAGGGTCCATGATGTTATTGTCCCTGTACCGTAGTCTTTACCTTGTGTCCAGGTAACATCAACCAATATAGTACTTGCTTTTGGAGTAGCGATTGGGGGCCTACTTAAGTAGGGAAGAGCTGGAAATTATTAGAAACATCACAATTATTATTTGTTTAATGTAATGTTACTATCGGGATTTAATCTGTATTTGTCAGCTCCTGCACAACCGCCGTTAACTATGCTACCACGTGCAGGAGAAATCGCCAATACACATCTAGCAACAACACGGTAGCTCTGTCAACTAAGCTGGACCTTGGGGTGATACCCTCGGGTATTGATTAATGTATTTATCTGTGTTTGTTTGTGACGGTATTTGTCTATAAAGTATTTTTTGTAGAAGGGCTACAGAGAGAATCTGATTGAAAATCTGGTTCCTCAAACATTTTGCTCCCTGTCATTTTACCCATTTAACTTCCTTTACTTTCTTTAAGTCCACGTATTTAACGTTGTTTTGCATGTTCTCAAGAAATGGTTTTGATAAAAATGCTGATTGATCAATTGCTTGTTTAGCCTTTGTGTCACAGAACTCTGTTTTTCCCCCAAGTTCATTACCTTCCTTAATATTATATGCATGATATTATTATCTATTTTCATATAAATATTCAATTTATTACATTGATTAAGCCGATCTAACATTATAAAATGTGGTTTCACTGAAAACACAAACCTATGCTACAGTTGGATCCTGCCCATGAATCACTGCATCCATTTGTACAGCTACCATCATCTCTGTTACAATCAGCTCCTGCAGAACAGTGGCATGAGTAGTTACAGAGTTCACCAAAGTAACCAGATGGACAGGATTTGTCTGATGATAGCACTAAAATACATAATGACACAATTTTAACACCCGACATCAATTCGGTTCAAAACGTTTATGGATCCTGCACAGTAGACCTACACTTTTAATAAGTCGTGGATACCATTAATAAATAAATTGAACATTCTTTGTAATTCTGAAGTTGAAGTAGAGCAAACTGTTTCGTTGAATTTTGTGGCTTGAGTTTTGTGACTGAGATTAAGGGCCGTAATGTATAAGATGATTAGCGAACAGACGCACTGACACATAAGTTCGGAAACCAGTCTTCGTTGTTGTTGAAGATATTTTATGTTTATGCTGGTTTTTTTTCTGTAACATTGTCAATGACAACAAGCGAGTTCTGGTTAGTATTTCGTAACGCATTAGATTTTCTTTCAGCAGTGGCGGCGCTAATATTTTCCCCGACCAGAGCCATATATATAAAGAGTTGCGACATTCCGCTCCTTGGTTTACGAAAGTCACGTGGTACACACCGTCCATTTTGTTTCATAATCTTCCCGATGAACACATGCAAAGTATATGTGTTACGT